TAGTTATTCAGTCATAAAACCTATATTTCTTTCATTCCTCTTTATTGATTTACTGCAAATTATCTGCATTTTTTAACTCAGCTTTTCAAGTGTATTTTGAATTTATTAATTTTATCTATACTTACTGCTGATGTTTTCTTCACCTAGACTTTTATAACAATTTCCTTTTACTTTTTCTTCCTTGAATTTATTCATAATGTCACTCAAATTATGCTATTTCTAGTTTAGAATCAGGAGCTTTACAATCTACTATCACCCTTGCTCTTAGAATTCTGAAGTCAAGTATGCTAGATCTGAGAAAGATTTATGTATCACTCCATCTATTTTCTGCCTTCATAAAGATGCTTTAACTTATGACACAGTGCTTCAAACAAAAACAAAACCCCAGTGTCAGGAGCTTAACACGGCAAATAATTCTTTTATGTTCAAGCCATGCAACCATTGGAGAGTGACTATGGCCTCTGCTATGAGTCATCTACATTCCAGGACTCAAGTTGGTGGAAAAACCACTGACTGGAATCTTGCCAATCTCCATGAATGAGGAAAGAAAGTTATAATAAAATACACATAGCATCCTTAGCACTGATCCCAGAAATGACATCTGAAGTTTTTCAAAAATTTGTGGAAAACAGATTTAAGAGATAAGTTTCTTCTGCTGTCCATGCATTTTAAGACTTTTTACGTGAAATTTCTGAGGATCCCTTATGCACAGATTTCAAAAAAAATTTTTTTACACAAAAATAAATATGCTAGAATTCCAATTTTTATATATAAACTTCTTGAAGCCCCTGATATATACTTTCAATAAATATATTTGGCTGAAGCAAGTAACATGAACTGAAACTACATCAAGTAAGGCATCAGTTTCATATGCCTAAACAAAGAACAGAAAATTTCCTGTTAACTCTCCCTTATGTGTTACGGGTAAAGACATTGGGATCTAGAGAGATTTCTGTCTGTGGTAACATAATGAAGCTGATTTACATCATAGCCCAATACTAAAACTCAGCTTCGGATTTACCACATGAGTGCTTTTTCTAATGCTGAACCAAGAACCAACTGTTCCCTGTCCTGAATTAAGTGTGCTTAAAAGTCTTGATATCAATATTTTACTTAGTTAAGTAATGTAAGTTCCTTAGATTGAAGTATGTTCATACTTTTTCCAAAAACTGAACCTTGGGCAGGTTAGAGGTCGTATTTCTCCAGCATTGCTGGCTCTGTAGCAAGGTATTCCAGTGACAAAACACTCACCACCACTCTGATCTAGCAGTTCTTACTTCCACCACCCCCAAAAAATCTGCAGAAGAAATGTCAAGGAGGTAAACACAAGAACAGTGAATCTAATTATACACTGAACGCCGTGAGACCCCTTAGGTATGCATTCACTACAAGAACTCAGGTATGGCGTAGGAAAGTTGATTTTCCTCTTGCAACACAGAATGTAAAGGGAAATGATTACTGATGGTTTAGAAGCTCAATGATATTGGAGAACGTAGCTCTCTTAGACTTTTCGCTTGAACACAGCATGGCTGCGATTGCTCCATGCATTGCATGTCTGGTTAAGTCCAGAACAGGGAAGGTAGAACCAGATGTGATTACTTCTATTATTAGAGAAGCACAATCTTACCCAAAATCAATTTCCTTTCCTTCATTCTAAAAGACTGTGGTTGAGGTTTCACATGCCAGGCCTGGAGTTCAATGGCCACCCATAGTGGCAAGGAAGACAGAAATACTAGGAAACAGGGATCCTCAGGTGGCCAAGTCTAATGCTGTCTTGAAACCAAATCAGGGTTCTGAAGTCACTATGCTGCATAGGAGGAGTCTTTAAAAAATTCTTAGAAAATGCATGCTAGGAAAGAGCTATACATGGATTTCAATTTTTTGCACCAAAATAAAAATGTATTTTTAAAAAGGATCTATGTATTTGAAACACAAAGTAACGAGAGAGAGAGAGAGAGACAGGAGAAAGTTGGGAAGGGAGAGAGGGAAAGTTGAGTGAGAGAGAGAAATAGAGGAAGAGAAAGAGAGATTCTTTCATCTGCCCAAATTACCACAACAAACAGGGCTGGGCCATTTTGATCTTAAGATCCAGGAGCTCCATCCAGGTCCCCATATGGGTAACAGGAGCCCAGGCACGTCAGTCATCTGCTGCCTTCCCAAACACATTCACAGAAAGGATACTGGTTCAGAGTGATACAGTTGGGACTCAAACCAACACTCCCAAGTGGGCTCTGGGATCCCCAGCAGTGCCTTATTCTGCCAAGCCATAACACATGCCTCCAAATTAACCTTTTAAGTTCATTTTTGACAAGTCTATTATACCTTATATCTTTACAACTGGAAAAACATAAAAATTTTAATAAAAAGCTGCTACAGTAAGTTGTACTATGACATGTATTTAAAAAAAAACTGCATTCCAACAAGACCAATATAATAGAGAATTGTTTGAGTAAAGCATAGTTCAACATTTGTGTGTGATTTTGTCCACTTGAAGCACTAGGTGAATATGAAAACTGTATGCAGATGACTCATAAAAGAATCTACAAAATTGGAGCCCAGCACAATAGGTTAGTGGCTAAAGTCCTTGCCTTGCACGTGCCAGGAGCCCACATGGGTGCTGGTTCTAATCCCGAACACCTGCTTCCCATCCATCTCCCTGCTTGCGGCCTGGCAAAGCAGCCAAGTATGCCCCAAAGCCTTGGGACCCTGCACCCACATGGGAGACCTGGAGGAGACTTCTAGCTCCATATCAGCTCAGCTCTGGTCATTGTGACTACTTGTGGAGTGAATCAGCAGATGGAAGATTCTCCTCTCTGTGTCTCCTCCTATCTGCATATCTGACTTTCCTATAGAAATAAATAATTTTTTAAAAAAGAATATACAAAATTAACCGTTACACACCTCAGATACCACAAATGACCTCAGCTCATTGCTTGTATTACGAGCTACACTCAGCCACAAGTGGTTTTGTACAGCTCCTTCTGGTTAGAAAAACGGACCCTCCTCCATTTGACAATAACTAATACACCATGATCTTTCTGAGTCCCATGTCCATAGGCAAACAATAATTCTTTTTCAAGATAGTCACATTTTTTCCCGATGTTTGTGTTATTTCTTAAACATTTATCATGTGTTAATATCTATAGGCACTGGCACAGTTTCTGAGTATCATATTCTTAAGTTTTTTTATTTCTCATAAGCTGCATAGTTTTGTTTATTTTTAATTTTATTTATTTATTTTTTGGAATGGAAAAGAAACAGAAGGAAGAGAGATCTTTCATCTGCTGATTTCCCCAGCCATTAAGGCTGGGCCAGACTGATGTCAGAATCCTGGGTCTCCAGCTGGGTCTCCCCATTGTTTGAACTGCACAGTTCTGGAATGGTACTTTTTCTAAATACTGTATCTCTGGTAGTTACTATGTGAATTCATGTTTTATGTGTTATAGCATACGTTAGTATAGGACATATACAAATACAATACTAGAAAACAGTTTTTAACCTAAGTCACAAAGCTCATTTATGTCTCCAAGCCATATGTGCCTTCAAAAATATTAAATGTATTTGAGAGGACTAGCTGAAAAAAAAAAAAGACTATCGATTGTATTAAATAAGATTACTCAACATACCCAGCTGTACATACGTAGATGTGTCTATGGAGAATAGAAATGTGTTATCCCTCTTTTATGCCGATTATGCACTCTGTGTTCAGCCTACACCTGTTGAGCTAGGAACACAGTTTCCATCTGTTTTTCTCTCACTTAAAAATCTTGTCTAGCAGGAGTTGGCTAAGAATCAGAGTGGGCAGCACAGGGCTGGGTTTCAGCCATCCCCTTTCTAACAGGAAAGAATCCCTTCCCTCCACAGGGTCTCTGCTTTCTTCTCTAACAAGGGCGTACTACACGCACAAAACGCTGTGCTCATTCCCAGGGCTTCTGCGGACTTCCCCCTTGAGAGATCTCTCAAGGAAAAACAACTTCAATGGGATGAATGAAGGGCTCCTCACAGTTCCGCCTTTCTGCCGCCCGCTCCTGGTCCTCACCCCATCCCTTCCCGGGGCACCCCCTTTAGTTTCATTTTTCCTCTTTTTATTTTCCCAGGGGGAGCTGCCCTCTTCCCGGGCTCCACCTGTGAAAGGCACAGGGGAAAAGATCTTACAGAAACCCAACGCTGACTCTTCTGCTCTCGCTTCTCTAAGCACAAGACACAGGGCACACCAGGAAAAGCTCTCACTGCAGGCCAGGGCAGCCTGTGGAGAGCAAGGAGCCCAGCGGCTCCAGGCCTCTGCGGCCTCCCCCCTCACTCCTGGCACCTGCTGCCAAGCCTGTGCTAAACCCGAATCTTTTTATTTTGCTCAGGAATGCAAAGGGGCGGGGTGGGGGGTGTTCCTGTAAGACTGTTGTCAGTAAACAGTCACCGGTTATTTGATGTTTAAAGGCAGAAGCACTCCTTTGAGTACATACAGAACAGATGCCAATTCCCATAGGTTCACGGTGGTTCTGTGGGTTGCAGGTCAGTGACCCAAGCCAAAAGCCACACACAGGCACAGCCTGCCTCTAGGCAACAGACCGCAAGGCGGTGACCGGAGCACCTGTGCACACCCTTTGGCACTCACTATCCCTGCAAGGTGCAGGTCGCTCTGATGTGCACTCCCCTTCCTTGTTCATTCCCCCCACCCCACCCCCAACCCTCGGGCCTACACAATGGGATTTTTGTTTGTTTCAGGAGCACGTGACCGTGCAGTCCCTGCTTTGCCTAGCTGTGTGTTGCAGGGCTCTCAGGTAGCAGGTGGCACCTTCCCCCATCGGATTCTAGGCATCAAAAAGAATGACCTCATAGGGGTGGAGCCCTGGGACTCCAGGTGGCAGTCAGGGCCAGGTAACCCGGGAGTAAAGCTGTTTAGTTAGAAGGGGGCAGTTCAACCTCTTCCTTTAACCCCTAACCTGAGGCACCTTAGCAACCAGCCATTGCCTGCCGGCCTCGGAAGCTTGTCGCTGCCTCAGATGGAGCCCAAAGAAACCACTGGGAAGGAAAGCATGGGCACCAAGAAAAAGAACCTGACCTTCCTGAGGCCCAGACTGTACATGCTGGAGAGGAGGAAGACAGACACTGTGGTGGAGAACAGTGCTGCTGGGGACCACTCTGGTACCTTGAGGAGGAGCCAGTCTGACAGGACCGAATACAACCAGAAGTTACAAGGTAACCACATAAAAAACCAATCGCCCCGGGTTACTGCACCTCCAGCTCCGTTTCTTCGACTCTTTCATGCTGCAATGAAAGCACTTAAGGCAGAGGAGGAAATCTAACATTGCCTCTCCTCCCTTCAAAATAAGAAAGTGAGCGTATGTCACATTCCAGGAGAAAAGTGTTATCCTGTGGATTAATAGAGTCGATTCTGAATTGTTCTTAGTATATTGTCTTTTTTGGTCCAAGGAGGATAATCATTTTTTCCTCCTTTCCCTTGTTCGTTTCCCTTCCCCTCCCTGGAAAGCAAGCGATGTAGAAACGTATAGAAGATAGTTTATCTCCGTAGATAGGTGTGAGATGGCACACAATGAGATCTATCCAGGTAATTGAGCTGAAGTGTACTTGCGATCATCTTAAGTAGGGACAGGAAAGGACAATCAGGACTGTGAAAAATAAAGTACAGCATAGTCAGCAGGATGGTAGAACAGGATTTGCTGAAAATCACTTAGGTGAGCGTTGCCTTAGAGTGAATTGAATAATGCCCAATTACGGCAACACAAGTTTAGCATGCTTGTGTTGAGTGACTTTTGAGAAATAACTCCCCAGAAATCACTTGGGTATGGATCTCTGTGACAGGTGTAAGGTAGTTTGGCACAGTTGCTAGCATCCATCCCGTTACAGGTTTTGAATTATCACTCCTTGCCATTCTCCCTGTGAGTTTCCCTCCCTTTCTTACAGGTTATTCACTCTAGCAAAACTTGGTTGTGATGTTGATATTTTCTGCATGTTAAATCTCCCCTAAAGGCCCTGTTATGTGATTCCTGCAGAGCTTGGCTCTTCTGCTTTTAACGCAGACTCCCGGTTTGAAATCTCAAACCGCTGCTCCAAGCTCTTATTCTGCACTTCACAATCATGAGGTTAGGAAGATCAACAGGACATGTTTGCTCTTACCAGATCTCATTCCTCAAAAATGAATTTAGATGTGGTTATGCACACTAATTAAGTTAAAGGAAATGCACTTAAAGTAAATCTTTAAATATTATTACTATGAGCTAATGGTTTTATTTTAATTCCTAGTGGTTAAGCATTAAAATGCAGAGTCAGCTGTCTCCTTAAATAAAATTGCTAATGAAGAAGAAATGCTGTTTGTTATTTGAACTTAATTCTTCTTAAGGCAATGGATATGTGGGAATGAATTTTAGAGTCATATACATTTGGTTTGTAATCCCAGCTGTTTAACTATTAGCATCAATCTGTAACACTAATAATATCTGCCACATGGTGTTGTTGAGAGAATGACATTAGATAATTACATGAAACATCCAGGGCTGTGGTTGACACATGCATGGAATATGCCCCATGAATAGTAGTTACTTCAAAATTTTAGGATTATTTGGTACCTTTATGATAGAACAGGACTTGCCCTCTGCTAATCCACATTTGCATTCCTTGTTAATCTTTTTTCAAAGCTTTTTTGGTCCTTGAATAGAGAGACTAGTTACAGGATTCGGAAGAAGTTGATTGCTTTATCAGTAACCGTCTTCCTCTGTGTAAATTTCACTCATTCATTATCATTCTGGTTTTGATTTTTTGTAAATAAAATAAAAAATGGAAACAAAATTTGTTACTCACTAATGTTTACTGCTTCCCAAACAGGTCTAAAATATAAGCCTTTGTCTATAGATGTGCATTGGTTACTTTGGGGAACACCTTGGACTTCTTGTAACACTGATTATGTGGCTTTCCTGTGCCTGGTAAATTCTATCTTTGTCGGTAGAAGAAACAAACAGGAAGTTAATTCTTGTTCCTAGAACTATTTGTGCTTGAGAAGGATCTCAAGTGTAATAGAGCACACCAGGCCTGCAAATGCAGGGTGGCTTCTTGAGAAGTAATATTGTTTAGAAGTATCTCCTGTGGGTTACAGGAGCAGGAAAAAGAAACTATATGTCAGGAACTACAACTATAAAATCATTAAGAAGACATTTGGTCTTTATTCCAAAGGGACTGGTGGAGTAAATGTATAAATAATAAAATATGAAAATAAATAGTACAAAAGTGGAATGATACAATTAGAGATGGAGCCAACATTTCTATCAGAGAAGGTAATTATTTAGAGTTGGATGGAAGAAATTGTTCAAGTTTTGAGAGGTGAGAAGATGGGGAAACAGAGAGAAGGTACAGAACGGGAAGAGGAGTATATTTTACCTCTTCCTGCTATCTGTGTCTATGAAATTGCATATTTTCTTGTTGATTACTTATTATAGACTATTATTTGCCCCTTGCAAGCCTCTCTCCTCCTGTACTCAATGAAAGAGACTCAATCTATCTTGTAAACCATTCCATCTTTGCACTCTGCCCAGGATGCAGTAAGTACTCAGTAACTGCTACATAGAAGAGTGACATGAATGATCTGGCCCAGGCAGGGATGGATGTGAGCAAAGTTACTAAGACATAAAATAAGAGCTCTCACATGTATGTGTCTTCGTATGTGGGGATACACGCCTCCATTACTAAAGAGAGCCTTTGGTTAAAATGAACACATTAGACCCCCAATGCACACAATTGCCTAGATAAAAAGATAATTTCTGGTGGAAGTCTGTCTTATCACAAGCATACCTCAGTTCACTTCTTCTCTGCCATTCATAACAAGATATTTGTTGTAGCAACCTGAATTGACTAATCCATTTATAGCAACAAGAATTGCATTTCCCTTCTCGTGGGCTAGCTCAGCTCCTCATTGTGCTTCTACTCGGAGCCATAGAGAGCTGTCTTTAGTGGTTGAGTTATAAAATCTCAAGTAAAATTTTATATGAGAGTACTTCAAAAAGTGGATAATGGATTTCAAAAATTCCTTTTTGCATTAAAAATTCTCTTAGCTATATTTTCTATATTTTGATGTACTCCTGAGAATGTGTGTGCACATATAAGTACATACAACATATATTTTTTTTGCAGTAATTAAACCTTAAGTAAAATATCTGTTATTTAACATGTACCAGTCTTTATTAGAAATGCTAGTGATTGATATTATAATTATAGATCTCCTGCCAGTATGGGAGCTGAATGTTTCATATATTGAAGCTAAATCTCTAATGTAACATATGTGGAAAAGGGCCTTTGGAAGGCAATTATTTTGTAAGGATGGAGCCCTCATGAATGGAATTAATGATCTTGCAGGGAAAATAAGAGTGTGTCCCTCTCTGCTGTACATTCTGGGAGGATATGAGAAGGTGTCTGCCTATAAACCAGGAAGCAGGTGCTCACCTCATGAGGAACCAGATCCGCTAGGACCTTGATCCTGTATTTCCTAATCTGTAGGACGAAAACAAACATTGGTTGTTTAAGCTCTCTGGTCTGTAGTATATTTTTAATGGCACCTCTAACTGACCAAGATAGTTTCATTTTCTATGGCCACATTAAGCCTCTGATTAATTTTTTTTTAGCCAAGGACATTATTGCTTGCTAAGCTCCAGGTGATAGAGTGGAAGAGAATGGGTAAATTGCCATTACTATTGTCAGCAACCCAAACAAAAATTCTATCTTCACTTCATAGTAGGTCTGTAGTACCATTTTCTTTTTTAAAAGCTATGGTATCACTAAGAAAAGATCATTAAGAAAAGATTCATTGGTTTTATGAAATTCTGGCATTTCTTCCTGTGATAATTATAATGAACCACTCCACTGCATGAACTTTATACAAAACCATGCAGTATAGGGACAGAGGTTCAAATGATGTTTGGGTTGGTTAACTCAGGAGACTGCCTAATGAATAATGTTTATAAAGAATGTTGGCAACCTGGAAATAAGCTTTATGAGTTTGTTCAAGTCTGAAAGAAAGATGACCTAAAGTGAATGACCCTGCAGTCCATGCAGGTTTCTATTCCAGTACTACAAAATTATTTTATTCTTGAATATTAAATAGCTCCTTTCCTACCCTGTCTTCACTCATTCTTTAGTGAAACAGGAAGTAGCTGAGTCAGAAATGTGACACCAATACAAATAGGTGTGTGTTATAGTTTGAAGGATAAACTTTTACATAAGTCAAGGTACTTTAAAAGTTAAGCAGTTGCTGCCTCCTGGCAAGCATCGAAGCTTATTTTCCTTTTCATTTTCAGCAAATGCATCTTGTGTTGAGAAGGACCCTTTCTGTCAAATAAGTGTGAGTCATAGAAATCAGTGAAGTTTGTACTATTCTGTACTACCACCACATCATGATAGGAAAATTTGTTCTTTGTGTGTTTGAGGTGATTATAGGCAGAACTTTATTAAAGATAGCAAATACACTGCTTGGTGTACCTTTTCTTTTTCCATAAAAATTATGGATTTTTTTTTCAAAAAATAACTTGAAAGATCAATGAGTCAAGTAGAATGAAAAAAAGAGGAAAAGGCAGATCAAGTATGTCCTAAACATGAATAAAAATGTGCCTTAAAATAGGAACAGAGCTGGGAAAAAGAGAAAAGCACTCAAGCCACATTTATTTCTGTTTGGACAAGATAAGACAGAAGAAAACTTTGCTTATAGAATCACTTTTTTTTTTCTATTCCATAATCACATGAACTTCAGTACTTTTGTGGGTATTGATTTTCTGAGGAGAGTGAATATTTTGCAAGAAGTGCTAACCAAAGTCACCCCAGACACCAAGCAAGACTAGGTTTCAGGTTGCTGTTTAGTAGTGTCTCTCTACCAAGCCCTCCTCGGCAAGCAGGTGTGCAGTCCTTGGGGCCAGGGATACAGCCACTTTGGAACTTCTTTCTTCATTTTTAGCCCGTAACCTGGAACATACGATTTTCTTTCCAACAGGTTCCTCTAGACTGCTCCTGAGGTCTGCTTGCACCTCTTCCTTGCCCAGTCCTCCAAGGGCCGACTGTTTGGTCGTGTATGTGCCCTTAGACAACTGACCATGGGAAGTTTTGCTTTTTAATTTGATCATGCTGGCGTATTCACATTACTGGTGCCAGGGTCTTCTGGAAGCAGAGCCTGGGAGACTACAGGTCTCAGTACAAGATAGGCA